ATATCAATGTACAGTGAAATAATTTTTCCTATTTATAAAATATAAAAAACAAAAAAATTTACAAGATACTTGACAAAAAAAACAAAACAAAAAACACCAAATAGCCGAAGCAAAGCCAATTTATAAATGCATTGATGTTTATCTTTACAAGTTTTTATGTTTTCAAGAAGCAATTAAAAATTTTTCTTGTTTCACAATCAATTTAATTTTTCTTTTAATTAAATATATCAGTTATGATTGTAAAGATCAATGCATGCAACACTAAAGACAAAAGAAGACATGCCCCACACAAATGCTATATGTTAAAGAGGATATATATACATACCCATGGCCACACCATCATCATTCATGTTATTTACATTATAAATATATTATAATATATAATCTTTTTTTTTATATTAAATAACAAGATGAAATTTTTGTTATACTTGACTATTTTGTCTATTAATTATAATTAAAAATATTCGATACAGTTTGAAGATTTCTGTTTGAGCATAATTTACAGTTTACAGGTGATCAGTCAAACTGTATCAACTGTTGTACCGTATGAATTTTAACAAACATTGCTAAATAGTCTTATGACACACAATTTGTAAGGAATTAGCACGTTGTCAATATTTTAAATTTGGAAGTATACGTAATATTGTTAAATAAAGCAAACAATCGCATTTGTTTTTAAAGAGCATATAATACTACCAAAGCACAAAGTCTCTCTCTCTTATTTCATTTATATTTAATTAAATAATATATTATATATATGCGAATACAATCGTGTGCGCACACATACACATACATACACATGTATACATGCACACACACCTGAAAACTAATATTAAAAAGTAATTAAAATAAATTAAATAGAATTTTATCACTGTACGAATAGATATTTTGTAAGGGTATTAATTCTAAAATATTTATGTACTATTATCATAGTTGCATCAATAAATTTGCTTTGGTAATTATAATACAAATGCTCTTTCTTATTGCAGTGGGATATTGGAGAACTACAGGCAGACATTGAGCAAAACATTTTTGCAAACGCAAATAACGGTTGATAACAGCTTGCCTGAGGGGGCTCCTATAGTGTGCTCCTATGGTGTCTGCCGCAGTGTACAGGTGCTGTAACCACAGAACACACTGACGTATCGTGCCCTCTACTTATAACTAATTCTTGGTATGCAGCTTATTATTTGCATATGTAACAAAAGCTTCACAAATTTTTCAGCTTATCAGTTACATTATCAAATCTTATCCCTTGTTGCTAAAGAAACATAACAATCACGCAGTCCTGAATAATCCCATTATAATAAGACCTTATGGTTTGGATTTAATTATATTCCTAACATTAAAACATAGTGACCGAGTACCATTAGAATTTACAGTGCAATCAGTGTAATTAGTGAAGAGTGTTCTAATACAAAATCTATAAAACATGCATAATGTACATAAAATGATTCTCGGTCACTAAAACTTAGAATACAGAGTGCAGAAATTCTGATGAATGTTTGTAAACTTTTATCATCAGTTTATTTTTATAAATAGAAACGAATTATGAAGATGCTTACCTATATTTTGATATTTAATAAATACATATTAAGTACATAATTTTTCAACAAACAAATATGTCTTTATTATTTGGAAATATCGTTAGATATATCAATATTTATTTTTATTACGTATTGATAAAATATTTTGAATATAATAAAATAAAATAAAATAAAATAAAATAAAAAAATTATTACTAAGTAATAGTAATAACATATAAGCAATTATAATAATTTATATTTGTAGACCGATAAAAAGAATAATTATTATATATTTCCAACTTTAATTATGCGATATGGAAAAAAATGTAATTCACATATATGATATACGACAAAAAGCAGAAGGAACATTTCAAAAGTATGAATTACTACACTCTGTATTACTCAGAAGTACGTCACAATTGATTACCCGAGCTTGAGAGCCTGGCCGCCAGCGCGGAGGCCCTCTTCACCCAAGAGAGTGACTTGTTCTTCCTCACGACTTGGATCTGCCATCTGCGATACGACACCTCCGTTCTCAGCCTGGCAACAGACACATGTCACCCCTCTCTTGCCCTATTTCCCAGTTGTTTATTTCTTTTCATGACAACTGAACTCACCCTCATCGTTATAGCTCTTCATTGTCAATTTTATATTATATATATATATCAAAAAATAACTTTCACTTTTTACATATCGGAATGAAATATTGTGTAACAGATATTAATTCGTTACACAAAATGATTATCACAGTTATGTATCACGCATCAAGAACAATTGCAGATTGTCTCTATTTGTAAATTTAAGAAACTTCATAAAGCATATAGATACATGCTATACATATATTAAAAATAATGCATACAGATTATGATTTATGTATAATTTGTTAACTGTAAATACATATACTATAGAATAATAGTATTTTTTATATTTATGCAAACAGTTTAGAAAGCCAGAGGAAATGAAAGAAAAGATTTTAATTTAACAATAAAAGAAGGTTATTAAATATTTAAACAACATATATGCAGAGTAACCCATTTATATAATGCAATTATCTTTCCGAATTATTGTTACTCAAAAAATGTTTTAATTTAATTAAATAAATCTTTTTATGGGTGGATATATAAAAGACCATATGATGGTCAAAAATTTTTTCAAATGGATTCTGCCTAATGTAGATCAATTAATCCATTAAAAATTATAGGATTTCATTCAAAAAAAAGATGTTGTTTTTTTTTTTATATATTTTTCATGTGTCCATCTACAAAAAGATTAATTAGATTAAATTACTTCCCCTTAAAACAGAATAAATTCCATTTGAAACATTGCTTGAATAACAAAAATTCAAAGAAATAATTGCATTTATAGATTGATATGGATCACATTTGATGTATGCGTATATATATGTATATATGCTGTCTAATTAATTTTTACTGAAAGCTAATATAAATTTCTAAAATAAGAAAAGTGAAATGTATTAAATGTAGTTATGTATTTATATACATTTTTAAATATATGATTTAAAAAATATACCTATAAAGAGTATGTGTATAATAAATATTATATGAGCTTTGAAAGATTTTGACAATGAAGAAAATAAAAAACTGAAAAATGTACATAATTTGAATAATTTGAGAACTTATAAAAATATATTTTAATGTTATAATTATTAGAATTACATGCATAGAACTTGCATTATACGATACTTAAAATATATAATTTTCATGCAATATTTTTTTTGTCACAGACATAACATCACAGAAATATCACATGATAAGCATTTATGAAATATATTGTATATGCAATATATTTTTAAAAATATTTTCCATTAATTATGTTTGCAAGCACATATCAACTTCCATGCAGTAAGTTATCAGTATTATATAATGTGAAATTTATACCAGTAAATTACAAGTTATTTTAAATATTTGTTTATTATAGATATTTATTATGAATAGTTAATATTTTTTGTTTTAAGAATGCATTATCAATGGTAAAGAGAACTTTATTCGATATAATGTAAAAATTTATGATAAGTCTTAGAAGCAGCAATATGATTATGGAAATAAAATATAATTGAAATGGAAAAAGAATGAAAGACAAAAAAATAGAAAGGGTAGGAGTGACTATAAAAAGGAAATTATAGAAAAGATCAAAACACCTTGCCAGGTGACATTAACACATTTAGTTAAATTTTTATGTGATGATTGAAAATTGTTATGTTAAATAAAAATTTATTTAGTACTGTGAATATAAATTTGTATGCAACACATATTCTACAGCTACATTATAATACTTGAACAGGTATGTGCACATACTAAGATAACGAAATTACACAGCATAAGTACAATTACAAATCGAGACATTAATGAAAAAAATATTTGAATCCTAAATCACATATATTTTAAATTAACTGGAACATCTTAAGTTAATTCTTAGCACAAATGTAAATGCATAATATATATGGAATATATATAAATGCAAAATGTTATTGATGCATGTAGATCAAACTACATCTATTCGTTATATGCCTATATTAGACATATACATCTTTTTAAAAAATGATTATTTTTCTTTTTCTTATAATTCAATTTAACTATATTCAGGAAAAATCAATAATTATATAGGAACTTTGGGAAGTAGGGCATAATAAGTGACATGTGTCTTTTGCGATTCTGCAACTTGGTTAGTTGATAATAGTAACACATTAAATGTCCTAAAATCACTCAATAGTATTATTAGTAACACAAAACAAAAAATTGTAATACGAAAAAGATTCGATTTTTCTAATTATTATTAACGTTAGCACAATTTTTAATATGTTTAATTTATAAGATAAATATATATATATATGAATATAAATGTATATATACATATATACATATATACATATACATATGTGTTGACTTTAAATTAAATTTGTTAAGCATTTATAAATATGTATATATTTGCATCGCGTACTAGTAAGTTATTTGAAAATTTTACATGCATCGTATTTGTTCTCATACCCATATTCACAGATTTGCTTTTGAGAAATGATAAATTAAAGTTTCTATTTAAATGCTTCATTAAAATAAATAAAGGCACACTATCCACAACATAAAAGTTAATTTGCTGAATAGTGCAAAAAGATAAATATTTGCAAAGTTCAAAGCTTTTTTTTACACGCTTTAAAAATATTAATTCAAAATAACATTAAAAAAAAAAATTAAAAAAAAACATATATTTACCATTGAGAAATTACTAATGCAATAACAAGCAAAACATTTTTATAATAAAATATAAAGATTAAATTTCATGTATGTCCACTGTACTATATGGAACAATTTATTTTTATAATAATTTCAGCTTTAGAAATGAAAACTATTAAAGTTTCCAAAATATGTATATTTGTATATAAAGAGAAAAATAAATATAAAAGAAAGGAGAATAGAAATAGACAAAATGAATGAGTTAGTTTGAATTTACATCCAGATTTTTTCTTTCATGTGCATTTCTTTATGTTATGTTTACAAAATCTGCAAATATTTATTTATTATTTAATTTCATACCCAATGTGAATTTTGTCTGTAACTATAAAATATTGACTTTTTCTAATTATGTTTTTTAGCAAATAAAAAAATTTGTTCTTTTATTAAAAATTAAATTCTATTTTATAATTTATATGGAATATATTTAATATCGTCATTATTATTGTCATGGTGATTATCACTATTAAAAATTAGGAGTATTATATTATCGTTTATATATAATATATATGTATATATCTTTCACACACACATATTATAATTATTATTAATATTATTATTAATAGTTTAAGTTAATTTGAAAATCAAAAGATCAATAATTTATCCACATTATGTAATTAGTTCCTCTATAAAATGTTTATATTGTTTCAACGCTAAACGTACCATGATCAGTCAAATTACCGGTTGTAAAATTTTTGGTAGTATTTCTTACAAGTTATATTTCTATTTGATGAGTCAAGAATTCTTATTGCATTAATGATATATATTTTTTTTTATAAATATGTTGTAAAATATATGACTTTCTGAGGACAAATCACTTGATTCGCTGTGGTAGAAATAAATATACATAAAGAGCATCGGTACGTTTAGTGTTAATATATAATTTTGTTTCATTCCTATAATATATCTCAAGAATGTGGTACAATGACAAAAACAATGACAATACAATACGGTATAATTAACAATCGAGGCACCCATTTTCAATATATTACCCACACAAAATGACCAAACATAACATGTCAGCTATATAATTTGAAATAATCTTATTTATGATCCAATGTTTTATGCGATAATACTTTACATTTGTGTAATAAAATTACAAAAATATAAAGTAAAAAATTCTTTCACAATATACATATTTTTCATCGAATTACATTACTTATTGGATCAGAAATGAGAAAATTCATATAATCATCACATCGGTAACAAACGCGCAAATATAATTTTATTATTTTCAATGATTAGATTCCCAATTTCCAGTTGCATTTATAAAAATATAGCATCATCACACATATGGTTATATGTTAATAGCATAGACAAAATGGTTTAGGCAAATCTTACCTCGTCAAAGAAGACTTGAGTTTTTCTTAATATATGCTTCAGCTCAGTCAATTCTAAGAAGTTACGTTTCAGAGCTTCAGCATTTTGATTGACTTCTCGCAGCTCATTCTCCAACTTTTCAAACGTAGCTTCCAAATCAATCATTTCACGAGGTTGCGGTGCTTCAGGATTTTCACCGGTATCAAGCATCGGTATTCCATCCTTTTTGATTTCCTTTTCCAAGTATCGTAATTTTCGTTCCATTTCATCACAACGACGTACTTCATTAACGAATTTTCGTTGAAATGCATTAACATCGGGATTAAGCTATATTAAAATATAAATTAGAATAAGAAAGAAAAATGACAGTAACAAATAAAAAATAAAAAAGACAAAGTAACAAATGTGAATATAATTTATGTATTTTCTTCAGTAAAAACAAAAGTGCATTAGAATGTAAAAAGTTCATAAGAGATCTATATATATATGTATAATAAAATATAAATAGACGTAACACATGTATCTACTGATATATAAAGATAAATTCGCGTAAGGAGATAAGAAAATACTTACATCTCTAAATTGAACAAGACCAAGTTCGCCAAGTTCGGAGACACAGGCGTAGGCAGCTTCGCTTTGCAAAAAGAGTTGACACAAGGTCATCTCTTCGCTTCGAAAAAGCGAACCCATCTTAATAGATGGAAAATTTACTTATTGGGATGACAAATTCGTTTACGTAGATTCCGTTTTCGTAAGGAAATAAAGAATTGAAGAAGACGTGTACTCAACGAGATTCGATGATAATATCGTGAGTCAAAGTAGAAAACCCACACGATATAAGATAAAAGCTCGAGATAGCACCGATCAATATCGTGACATCACGAGACAGAAACTATTTTATACAACCGTACGTCAAACGTCACGAGTTCTAAACGTGCCACACTTGCGACGAATTCACACCCAATGAATATGTGGCGCACACTGTGTTGCGGCGATTTCTGAAATTACTCTTTTCAAGTCGATAATACAAACATCTACGGTACAATCTATCAAAGAATAGTACAATACTATCAAAGAATACAATATTCTACCGACTATCGCTCACTGGTGATCCCGTTAGAGTAACTAAAAAAAATAATAATAATATAATAATAATTAATAAATTTAATATCTTAAATATATCGTAGGAAAACGCTGGCAAGAAACTTTAACAGCAGAAAGTAATAAATTCTTAATTGCACATTATTTGCTCAATCAAAATCCATAATTGCCAATTTAATAATTAATTATTTAATTAGTTATTAATAATTGAAAATACGAAAATTTTTTTTCTTATTTCTAAGCAAAGCAACGAAGTTTGCAACAGCAGAAAAAAAATGAATAAGTGCTCTTATTTGCTCACTAATTGTGCTCAWCTTTATTATATCAAATATTTTGTATTTATCGTTAATTAGTTGAAAATAATTATTACACTTTGAATAATTATGAAATAGCGATATCATGAGTGGGAGATATGTTATACACATGCGCAACCATAAATTCAATGCGCAACCACAAATTCAAGGCGCAAGCACACTTGGAAAACAATGACAGTAAAGTTGGTATATATATATATATACCTACAGGGGATATATTTAAAGTTGATTTCCAAAGTAACAACCTACAAGGTAGTGAAAAGAAATAAGTTAATCGTTCATAATGTATAAACAATAGGTAAATGTTTTCATTTTTTTCTGCTGTTGCGGTTCTATGCCAACTTTTTTGTAGTGAAGTATATAGAAACTCACAAGTCCCCTTTTTTATCTACCAAGCATTATCTTTGTTACCACTGGGACCACCATTGGACGATAGTATGTACTTAACGCGATGACGGTACAATAGTAGTAATGTATAGTATAGTTATATTGTAAGAAAATTTAAAATAATTATATATAATTTTTACTGTCTAAATACGTGTGTGTGCCTTCAGAAATGCGTTTTTTATACATATATATTGTAAAAAGTAGAAGAAAATCAAAACGAGTAGATGATAAATCCAACGATGATCACCTGTAACAAAAAGAAAACTATATTAATCATACAATCAAAAGTGATACAATAGCCTAACATACAAATCGTCCAGTTCGCAGAGACGCACTTTTCATTTAAATTCCTTATTTATTTTTATCCAATCTCTATTTATCGTTTGTAAAATAAAATTACATTTAAACGCGTGATTTTACATTTACATAAAATATATAAAAATAAAGAAATAGGAAAAGTACAAATATTAAGTTACTACAAAAAATAATATCTATTAATTATTATGAAATACTTTTTTAAGCTGCATTATATAGAAAAGAAAAATTTCAAATTTAATAAAATACGATCAAAATGAAAAATTTTAAAGACGAAAAAAGAAAAAAAAATTACTGTAATATTTACCAAACGTTATTTAAGCTTCAAAATTTAATATTACGAAAATTTTAATATTTTTGACTCTAACTAATACATATGCATCTTTAGGACGATATAGACACGAATTTGGTGTCCCAAGGAGATGGAATGGTCCATCATCTCCAATTGAAACTACAAATTAATGACGAGCAAAAACGTAATATAATAAAATATGACTAGAGAGCTATTTTCAATAGGTTCGAACTTACTGTTGAACCTTTGAAAATAACTCAATAGTCTATGTAGTTGCCCTCTTCAGCCACAATTAAGTGGGGGCCTCTTCGGCATTAGCCTCTTCGGCATTTAGCCTTTTCTTTCTTCATGCCCTAAACGCTGCTGTGAGACTT